TTTTTTTTTTTTTTTTTTTTTTTTAGTTTTCTTCTTTTTTTGGATTTTTTTTTTTTCGTATTTTTTCTCTTTTTTTTTTTCTGTACTCATCAGAACGGGATACTCCACGACTGTCTCACCAACTCAGTGCCAGTACACATGCTCTAGAGGACTCCTGGACTCGCAGCTACAACTGTACAAGTGCACACAAGAAAATCTACCCTGTTATCCTCCACCCACTGACTGAGGATCGAATTGCACATTTCTCTTCACCATGACAGGAGAAAGCAAACAGTGAAACAGAATCACGGGCGATCTTTCTCACTTTCCCTCATTTTCATTGGTTTGTCCATACCATTCGGACTGTCATGAAAGGGCTCTGCGCAGAGGCTGCTCCACTCGCTTCCTGCATCACCGAAAACCATCAGGGCTGAAATTTCATCCACGTCTTTCGTGACGCCCAGCAAATATTCCCCCTCGGATTATTTTACACCTTGAGGGCATTTTGGTCTTCAGTTCAACACTCTTGCTCTGTTCCCAGATGGGGCGCTATTTAGGGGAATTTAAAGAGAAAGCTGAGAAGAATAAACATTTACCGAGTCCTCTTGGCATTCGGTCTCTGAAAAACCACAGTATAAACTATTCATGCTGCTTCTTACATCTGTCAAATCGAAAATTAAAAGCCATAAAAGTGTAACACTGAAAATATGGCATTAAAAAGGGTAAAGGCGGCCTTTGTAAAAATAACAAGAAAAGTATATCAGCCAATAAAATATTCTAACTCTTCATTTAAAAGTGCATCCTGGGCAGGACAGAGATGAGCCTGAAGCGTGGGGGCTCCAGCGCGATCCCTCTCCGCCGTCAAAACGGGAACAGCGTAGGTCCGAAACCGTACAATGCAAATCACAATTCTTAGTGTAGCAGCAAAACCACAGCAGTTTTTTTTTAAAAGTATAAAAAAAGATTTTTTTTGTTTTCAATTCCATATCATCTTCCAGCCTCACCCTCTGAGCCTGGAGAATGGAGCGGGGAGAATACCTACATTGGTCCTTGTGGCTTGTTGGTGTTTTGTTGTTTTAAAACCAAGGGCGAAATCCCTAAGTTCCTCTGGGGAGAAGCAGGGATGGTGGCCGCAGGAAGGCTGAGCCCTCTGGCTGGGTCCTAGACGTGCCGGCTTCTCCGGGCTGCAGGCCACCGAGGGAGGGCTGCTTCCTCTGAGATGCTTAATGACGGGAAGCGGCTTTATTTGCTTGAGTTTCAGCCAGAGGGGGTGGTGAGCTGACCAGCTGGTGTCATTGGATGTCGTGACGTGGCTTGCTCGGCGCCCTCTCTCCATGCAAGGTACCCTGTGAGCGAGTGTTCCTAGGAAAGGGGAGAAGGGCCATCAGGATCCACTGCACCAAAGCGCCCCCTCCCCCAGCTGGGAGAACCCAGGCACGGGTGAGAGAAGCAGCCTCCCCAGCCTCAGGCCAGGCCTAAACGGAGTCCCCAGGCTGAAGGCAGCACTGTGAGATTTCGACATGACTTCCATTCACGTTTCTGCTCAGGCCCAGCCCGCTTTGTGTGGGGAAATGAAACCTGAGTCACTTTTTGGAATCCCGCAGTGAGCGTGGTGCACCACGCCCTTGCCCCAGGACCACGACAGCATCCTTTGTGACCCGACCCGGCAACTTTCACCCTCCCTGTTACTCTACCATCTGGCAGGAGGTCTTTTGAGTTGCTAAGGTCACCTCAAAGGCAGGCAAGGCCACCACAGGACCCTGGAGCTCCAGACCTCACCCCTGTACTCCGTGCAACAGCCCTGGTGTTTGGTCCAAAGGAGGAAAGCCAAGAGGTTCACTTCTTAGCACATGAAGCATTACTGTGGAGACAGACTCCTCCTTGGAGTTTCTTACGGAGGCAGCAGAGCTGGAAGAAATGCCCCCTCTGTGGGTCTTGCCTGACAAAAGTGAGCCATTCATGTCTCTTCACATCCAAACCAAACAGTAGCTCGAGACTGGAAGGCTATAAACCAACCCCTGGAATCCCGGGGCAGGGCGTCTGAACAGCATTGCTCACTAGGAAAGTCCATTTCTGGGGAATGCCCACCCCAACTTTCACCACATACATTAGGCTCTGCCTCACCGTCCCACTGGTTTATTTCATTTGCTTCCAGTCCCTTAGTTTAAAATATAACTCCTAAAGACACCCAGTCACTCCCAATAAGCAGCCACTTAGAAGTCTCAACTCCACTATGAAGTCCCCAAGGCTTGGGGTTGTATCTGCTTTGTTCACGTCTCTATACCCAGCCCCCAGTTCAGCTCAACACACATTTGTCAAATGAATGAGGGTCAGACAGTCTCCCTCCATGCCCCAAAACAGTACCCCTTTTTTTCCTGCCAGTGAGTGGGGATGTCAGAAATGTGCCTGGGTAAAATTTGGCTAACGTGAGGTGGTGACAGAGGACTCGTAAACATTTTTACAACTGCTGAGATTATTCCTAGAGCAACGAACAAATAATATCAGAGAGGTGATAGAATGTAGAACCTGAAGGGACCCCAGAGATAATATACTACAAGTTCCTCATTTTACAGATGAAGAGGTGGAGGCCACAGAGAGCCCTGGGAACTAGCTCAGGGTGTCTGCAGCATGTTAGCACAAGTGTGAGGAGGTCCAAGTGCTCGCTGGGAGGACCAAGTACAAGCCAGTGCTTTGAGCCCTGCTGTCCAAAGCCTGGCGTCAATGGTAACAACAATGGTCAACCAAAAACAAGGTTTGAAAGCCTGACCGTGCATGACGGGAAATGCCTGAGTTCCCCAAATCACATTAAATCACCAGATCTGTGTGCATTTAATATGTATATTAAGTAACCAAAGTGAAAATGCAAAGCACCACAAATATGCAATGGGGGTGGAATTACAAGGCCATGGAAACCTTTCTATTTGGCATGGTCAGATTTGGAAATGTGAATGTTTATTTCTGAATAAAGAGCTCACTTTGACTTCTCTTTCTTCTTTCTTTCTTTCTTTCTTTCTTTCTTTCTTTCTTTCTTTCTCTTTCTTTCTTTCTCTTTTCTTCTTTTCTTTCTTTCTCCTTTCCCTTCCTTCCTTTTCCTTCCTTCCTTCCTTCCTTCCTTCCTTCCTTCCTTCCTTCCTTCCTTCCTTCCTTCCT